TTAAGTGAAAGGTACAAAATCTACCCAGCCTTCAGAAGTCTGGTGTCCATTAGGTTAATGTGTCAGAAATCTAGGTGGGCAGCCACTTGACATCTCTCTCCTTGTTTGTCCATAACCAGTCCTTCACTATGTTCTGTCAATTTGCCCAAGTAGATCTCAAATTCTTCCATTCTTCTGTTTCCTCTGCCCCTCCCCTAACCCCAGCTATGCCTTCTCTTGCCTGGATTACTATAATAGCCTCCCAAGGGCTGTGCCTCCATTCATTGTTCACAGTGACACCAGAATTATCTTTTCAAAACACAAGTCTGATTATGTCACTACTGTGCCCCCCACCCCTGAATCCTCCTGGCCCACTCGTCACACTGCTTTTAGGGTTAAGACCAGGAGCCAGTCCCTGAAGGATGCTCTCTCCTCCCTCCCTCCTACCTCCCTCCACTCCAGCTAGTTAACCCTTGAGCTCCTCTCGCTTTGCCATGCCTCTCCCAGCTTGGCAAATGCTGTTTCCTCTGACCTCTGCCTGGGACCTACTCCCTGTTTTCTCTCTTCTTCTCCTGCCTGTCACCTTAAATCTCATTTTGTAAACACTTCCTCCGGAACCCTGACTCCAGTATTGGCCATTTTGTCCCTATTTGGTTAATGTTAACAGAGTCCCATGTTCCTTTTCCTTCAAAGCACTCATCTCTGTGCGTTCGTTGTTCAACTGATTTTATTAACATCTGTCTCCCTACCTGAATCATAAACTCCTAGAGACTGGGGACTCTGAACGCTTTTCTCATCACTGGCATGTGTCTCTGGCATCTAGCACAGTTGTCTTGCATACAGCGGGCACAAGTAAATATTTGCTGACTGAATGAACTTAATGAATACTGATTTGTTATTCTTAAAGGGTTATCTGTTTTGTTTTCTGCACGATTTTCTCAAACCAAACTCAACAACAACCATAACGTGATTTACATCTAGTACTTTTTTTATGAATGAAAAGACAGAGCACTATTACAATGCCTAGGAAAACTGAGTTGTTTCTAACTTCTGCATGAGTAAGCTATTAAAATCAGCATACATGCTTGCATCTGAAAATTTCATTTTTATTCCCAAGATGTTCATTCTAAAGATAAAGAAAATAAAAGCTCCATTTGCTTGGGGAATTATAAATGTCAGTCCCCCCAGAAGGTTCAGAAATGCAGTTTAAGATCCAACTAAATAAAAGCCTTCGTGAACTGATGGTTCACAAACAAATAAACATCCTTTGAATGACACAGAAGCAATGTAAATTAAAACAAAAAAGATCTTAGCAGGCAACATCATATCTCAGAACTAGAAAACAATCATTTGGATTTTGGAAACGTCAAGACAAGAAAGTATTTGTGCGAGCAACTTATTGCAAAACCTAGAGTGAAATAGAAGTTTAATTTTCAGAAAGTTCTCTGACATCATACATCGTTAACTAATTACTTTTACATTTAGAAACAGATTGCTTTGGATAAATAATTGTATGCCAAAAGGTCCATAATGCTAGTTAACAAACTGAATAATATATTTTCATCATCATTTAGTAAAAGTCTTTTTGCAGTTACTTTACTGGTACTTAGTTTAATTTGTGCTGTTATTACTGACTAGTCTCCAAAATAAGTACCTTACATCAGAGTAATCTGAATGGTCAGTAAATCACTATTACTTCAGGAAGTATGAGCCAAGTTATCATCGCACACCCCTACTATGTAAGCCCTGGCAAAGAATTACAAACGCGAAAATCTTACAGCTGGAAGAGAGACCTCTAGTGTGTGTTAGAGAACTTTATATTGTGCTTCAGGCATAATTAATACAGCAAAGTCACTGCAGTCATTTTGAATACTGTGGTGGGAGATTTCTTTTTTGCCAACTATCATTCACGCTCAATTCACTTCACATTTTTCTCAGCAAATGTCTAATATTTTTACTTAATTACTTTCTTTTTATAAACATACGGCCTAAACCAATGAAGTTTTTTCTCTGTGATGCAAAGTTTTACCAATTCAATGGTCACCTTTGCAACCTAATTGGCAAACATCAAACCTACTTTCACCATAACTGCTAACACTTCCATGCAGGCAGCAGCAGGACTCCTGAGCCAAACTGGTGCAGTCTGTAAGCAGTCTCCTGAACACCAGCCCCTCATGGTAAACCAAATGCCACACAAATATAAACACGAGGAACAGATCAGCACATTGCCCTTTATCCAGGAGACAAATGAATCCACCACTATTTCAAATTCGCCAAGTAGGTTAGCTATTATTAGTTTCCACAGATTCCCATATATGCAGGTGAATTTCTTGACGTACAATCAGGTTTAATGGCTCATTCTATGGCATCAGCCTAAGCCTTTTAAAATCCTTTATTTTCTCCTTTCCCACATTAAAAACACATTTGAGATACACGCAGAAAATGTTTCTCTAAAAAATGCACACATACCCACAAAACAGGAGGTCTCTTAAGGAGTCTACTGCTGGGAAGGTAAAAGCATTTTGCTCATTTTTAATTTGCTAAAACAATCCAAGCATGCTTGGTACCCAGAGGGTATTCTCAAATAAACTTGTATCTCTAGCTGCCAGCTTCGTTGATTGAAAACAGAAGGCAAACGTTTCTTAAAGAATGAGTATGTTAAACTGTTATGTCTCTCCTAGTTCCACCAAGGATACACACACGCCGGCACACGCACATCCGCGCACACACGAGTCAAGGATCTGCTTGAAAGCAGCCAGCTCTGAGATCTAAAAGATAATGTAGCATTTGTACCAAATTACTTCTGCCTACTGCGGTGCCCCTCTCGGCCAGGGCCACGGGCACACTGGACAGTTCCCGCGTGCTCTTCCCCACGCGCAAAGCCGACGGCCCCTTTCCAACTTCGCTAACTTAGTTGGCTCCCGCCCCGCCGGCCCCCGCAGCACGGTCACGGTGAAAACGTTTCGATCCCAGAGAACCGTTTCCACGACAGTGCAAGTGTTGGAAAGCACAAAGGCACACAACGTCGACGCGCTAGCTCGGAAGTTGCGGCGCTCGGGCGGCCGCGGAGCGCACGCGTCCAGGCGAGGGAGTCCCGCGCCACGCGTCTGCCTTCCTCTTCCCGGATATTTCGGGGGAGCCGCCGCACTTCTAAGACGAAGTCACCGGAACGCGCCCCCCACCCCGTTCCGTCTCCAGGAGGCGCGGACTCCGTTTTGCAGCCAGGTCCCTCTTGGGGACGCGAGAGGAAGCACACTCCACGTTTCAATAGAGAGGGGCGGCGGGAGTGGAGGGGGGGTAGGAAAGAGGTCAGAAAGGAGCCCAACTGCATCCCTCCCGCCCACCTCGGTGCCCCGAGCGCTGGCTCTCGCGGCGGAGACGGGAGGCGGCGGGGAAACTGGCCCTTTAAGGGAACCTTGGCCGCCAGCAGGGGCGGGAAGGATGCGGGCCCCGGCCTGGGCGCCGCAGGCACCGCGGAGGGGAGCGAGCGCAGCGCGGCCACAGCCATTACCTGCAGCGCTCCCCTCCTCCCCCACCCAGGGCCCCCTCCCCCGTCTCCGCCTCCCAAGGAGACTTGTAATTCGGAGCATGTGCCGTGCCCTTTATCTGGGAAGGAGGTGGGGAGCGAGAG